TGAAAAACCTACTCATACAAAATCTCTTCCCAAACGTCATTTCGTTCAAAGTGGAGAGAATGCTAAAAAAAAAAATATTTTTGTTCTGAGTGTGAGAAATGCTTTTCAGCCGCTTCTAATCTTAAGCATCATTTGAGGAGCCATACAGGAGAGAAACCTTATTTTTGTTCTGATTGTGGGAAATATTTCTCTCAAAGAGGCCACTTTTATATTCAATCTATAACAGTGAAAAAAGTTTTTTGGTTTTAAATGCAAGCTATTGTTACACCAGTGAGTGAGTGGTGGCACTGGGCACAGAATCCACTGTGAGCCTGACACACCCGCTTTGAGATAACTAACTGCTATTCAATCTATAACAGTGAAAAAAGTTTTTGGGTTTTAAATGCAAGCTATTGTGACACCAGTGAGTGAGTGGTGGCACTGGGCACAGTATCCACTGTGAGCCTGACACACCCGCTTTGAGACAACTAACTGCCATTCAATCTATAACAGTGAAAAAAGTTTTTTGTTTTTAAATGCAAGCTATTGTGACACCAGTGAGTGAGTGGTGGCACTGGGCACAGCATCCACTGTGAGCCTGACACAGACGCTGGCAGACAACTAACTGCTATTCAATCTATAACAGTGAAAAAAGTTTTTTGTTTTTAAATGCAAGCTATTGTGACACCAGTGAGTGGTGGCACTGGGCACCATATCCACTGTGAGCTTAACACACCAGCTTTAAGGACACTGACTGCTATCCAATCTATAACAGTGAAAAAAGTTTTTTGTTTTTAAATGCAAGCTATTGTGACACCAGTGAGTGAGTGGTGGCACTGGGCACAGTATCCACTGTGAGCCTGACACACCCGCTTTAAGGACACTGACTGCTATTCAATCTATAACAGTGAAAAAAGTTTTTTGTTTTTAAATGCAAGATATTGTGACACCAGTGAGTGAGTGGTGGCACTGGGCACAGTATCCACTGTGAGCCTGACACACCCGCTTTGAGACAACTAACTGCTATTCAATCTATAACAGTGAAAACGTTTTTTGGTTTTAAATGCAAGCTATTGTGACACCAGTGAGTGAGTGGTGGCACTGGGCACAGTATCCACTGTGAGCCTGACACACCCGCTTTGAGACAACTAACTGCTATTCAATCTATAACAGTGAAAAAAGTTTTTGGGTTTTTAAATGCACGCTATTGTGACACTAGTGAGTGAGTGGTGGCACTGGGCACAGTATCCACTGTGAGCCTGACACAGACGCTGGCAGACAACCAACTGCTATTCAATCTATAACAGTGAAAAAAGTTTTTTGTTTTTAAATGCAAGCTATTGTGACACCAGTGAGTGAGTGGTGGCACTGGGCACAGTATCCACTGTGAGCCTGACACATACGCTGGCAGACAACTAACTGCTATTCAATCTATAACAGTGGAAAAAGTTTTTTGGTTTTAAATGCAAGCTATTGTGACACCAGTGAGTGAGTGGTGGCACTGGGCACAGTATCCACTGTGAGCCTGACACACCCGCTTTGAGACAACTAACTGCTATTCAATCTATAACAGTGAAAAAAGTTTTTTGGTTTGAAATGCAAGCTATTGTGACACCAGTGAGTGAGTAGTGGCACTGGGCACAGTATCCACTGTGAGCCTGACACACCCGCTTTGAGACAACTAACTGCTATTCAATCTATAACAGTGAAAAAGTTTTTTGTTTTTAAATGCAAGCTATTGTGACACCAGTGAGTGAGTGGTGGCACTGGGCACAGTATCCACTGTGAGCCTGACACAGAAGCTGGCAGACAACTAACTGCTATTCAATCTATTATAGTGAAAAAAAAAATATTTTTTTTTAAATGCAAGCTATTGTGACACCAGTGAGTGAGTGGTGGCACTGGGCACAGTATCCACTGTGAGCCTGACACAGAAGCTGGCAGACAACTAACTGCAATTACATTACACAGAAAAAAAAAAAAAGCAGACTGATGTTCTAGCCCTAAAAAGGGTTTTTTGGGGTGCTGTCCTTACAGCAGAGATCAGATGAGTCCTTCAGGACTGTAGTGGACACTGTATACCCTAACCTAGCTATGCATTTCCCTATCTAATCAACAGCAGCTACACCTTCCCTCCTCTCACTAAGCATGCAGCTTGAGAATGAATGTAAAATGGATGCCTTCCAGTAGGTGGGAGGGTCTGCTAGGGAGGGTGTGCTGCTAATTGGCTGGAATGTGTCTGCTGACTGTGAGGTACAGGGTCAAAGTTTACTCAATGATGACGAATAGGGGGCGGATCGAACTGCGCATATGTTCGCCCGCCGTGGCGAACGCGAACATGCTATGTTCGCCAGGAACTATTCGCCAGCGAACCGTTCGGTGCATCACTATCCAGGATTTAATCATAATTTACTTTTAAAGGGACGCTATAGTCACCTGAACAACTTCAGCTTAATGAGGTTGTTCAGGTGAGAACTAAAGCTCCCTGCAGCCTCTCATGCAAACACTGTATTTTCCAAGAAAATACAGTGTTTACATTGAAAGCTAGGAACACCTCCAGTTGCAGTCACTCAGAATGCCACCAGAGGGACCTCCGAGTTGATTGAGGCATAATATGCCTCCATCCACTCAGATCTGCTGTGCACGAGCATCCTGTGATTCAGTATCTCCTCCCACTGCATGCAGACACTGAAGTTTCCTCATAGAGATTCATTGATTCAATTCATCTCTATGAGGAGATGCTGATTGGCCAGGGCTGTGTTTGAATCATGCTGGCTCTGCCCCTGATCTTCCTCCTTGTCAGTCTCAGCCAATCCTATGGGGAAGCATTGTGATTGGATCAGGCTACAACTTCTGATAATGTCAGCAGACTGTTTTTTTTTTTTTTTAGGCAAACAGCATGCAGAGTTACAGCTTCTGGCTTGAATACAGTAAGATTTTTACTATATTTATGGAGGCATGAGGTGCCCAGGGGTGCTAGATTGTGGTTTTAACACTATAGGGTCAGGAATACCTGTCGTTGCACTGGTGACTATACTGTCCCTTTAACTGATTTTCAGTTTTGGAGCACCAAGCAATACTGAACTCATGATGGGCAATGGTCCTAAGATAATTTGATACATTCAACTGAGTCCTTGATAACTTTCTTGACCTTTTTGTTTTCCTGAAATGAAAGCAGGCAAAACAATGGCATTGCTTCTTTATGCCTCTCACTATGTATCTCTCTTCACTTTTTAGTAATTCAAATTTCTAAACTCAAAAATAAGGATTTTCATTCAAACTTTCTCACATTTAAAATGCAATAGTTTGACAGATGGCACTTATACATGTTTAGGAAAATATTTCTAACAAATTGAATACAATTTTTATATATAATATGTATATTCAAATTATGTTAATTAAATATTGCCAGCATGTGTAATCAATCTGTATGTGCAAATGATAATTAATGAAGCAAAAGGTCATGGGAACCACATTTTTTTTATAAATGCTATGTGGTCACTGTAGACATCTCAGCACTATATGTAGTTATACAAAGCGTTCACTTCAAGGCCCCAATAAATAAGTGAACTAAATATAGAATGCAGAGTTATTCATTAGAGCCTGCTAAAAGCTAATCAATATTATTAAAGAGGTTTTTACAATGTGTGAAAGTCTCAGTATAAGGGAATATTATAGCTCACATTTGTAATATGAACCAACTTCACAAATAGATTGTTGAATTGACTGTTATATGTTTCAACTGTTCAGCATCAGAAGAGCTTGGCCGAGTTGTTGACAATAAATGACAATATGGTGTTGGCATAGACTGATTAGAGAACAAATATGGATGATGACATGAAAAGTTACCGTCCCTTTATAGGTTAATAAAAATATAATCATTTCTAATTCTGAATTTTATCTTAAATTGCATTCTCAATAAATTATTTCCTTTTAGTTATATACAGCTCTATCAGTTCGATACTAATAATTAGACTCCTAGTAATGAGTCTGACCTAGCATCATGGGTGATGTAGTTCATAAATATTTGCAAAGAAAATATTCTACAAAAATATGTAAATGTTTTATGGCTTTATAAATGCTGTGTGTGTATGTGTGCATTGCATGCACACGTGTGAAAATGTACTTATAGAAATCACATGAATAAAACATCTTTTGTTATTCAAAAATATGTAGATACAGTATATTATAATACCATTGCCAACACATTTAACCACTTAAAATGTTCACTTGATTTGTGCATGGTTTGGCTGAATCACTCCATCCAAACCAAAAAAATAATAATCAGTGATACCCTATTCAAAATATGCATGACCATTTTACTCCCTTCCCACATTCTTCATTTAGCTGCCACCTAAATAACTTATAGGAACACTCCATGCAACTAAATTACTTAATCTCAATTAAGTTGCTATGGAGCCTGGAGGTGCCTTAAGAGGTGAAATCATTTACTATTGGTTTTACCTCAAAGTTGTGAGGATGGTGCATGTTGGCTCATCCTTTCATCTTCCAGTGGAGGCCAAGGCTTCAATGAGGAACTTTCAGATTGGGCACTGGTGATAGGCTGAGAAGATCAATTGACGCTCTCAACCTACCTCAAGCTTCCCATTTAGAAAATTGTCATTTGTGTGCAATAGGAGAATCAATCGTATTCACTACAGTATAAAATACAGGGAGTGCAGAATTATTAGGCAAATGAGTATTTTGACCACATCATCCTCTTTATGCATGTTGTCTTACTCCAAGCTGTATAGGCTCGAAGCCTACTACCAATTAAGCATATTAGGTGATGTGCATCTCTGTAATGAGAAGGGGTGTGGTCTAATGACATCAACACCCTATATCAGGTGTGCATAATTATTAGGCAACTTCCTTTCCTTTGACAAAAGAAGGACTTGACAGGCTCAGAAAAGTCAAAAATAGTGAGATATCTTGCAGAGGGATGCAGCACTCTTAAAATTGCAAATCTTCTGAAGCGTGATCATCGAACAATCAAGCGTTTCATTCAAAATAGTCAACAGGGTCGCAAGAAGCGTGTGGAAAAACCAAGGCGCAAAATAACTGCCCATGAACTGAGAAAAGTCAAGCGTGCAGCTGCCACGATGCCACTTGCCACCAGTTTGGCCATATTTCAGAGCTGCAACATCACTGGAGTGCCCAAAAGCTCAAGGTGTGCAATACTCAGAGACATGGCCAAGGTAAGAAAGGCTGAAAGACGACCACCACTGAACAAGACAAGCTGAAACGTCAAGACTGGGCCAAGAAATATCTCAAGACTGATTTTTCTAAGGTTTTATGGACTGATGAAGTGAGAGTGAGTCTTGATGGGCCAGATGGATGGGCCCGTGGCTGGATTGGTAAAGGGCAGAGAGCTCCAGTCCGACTCAGACGCCAGCAAGGTGGAGGTGGAGTACTGGTTTGGGCTGGTATCATCAAAGATGAGCTTGTGGGGCCTTTTCGGGTTGAGGATGGAGTCAAGCTCAACTCCCAGTCCTACTGCCAGTTCCCGGAAGACACCTTCTTCAAGCAGTGGTACAG